GTCTAACAGAAAACTAAAAATCAAATGACTAACTTATATAAGCAAGAAAGAAAGACAGCAAGGCAACAAACTTTTCTCACACTGTAGGATTTGAATAAATATCGAACTTTGAATTTGAAAAATAATAAAGGCTGGGTCAATATATCCAATGAATAATAACAAACATCAATGAAAATAAGGATAAATATAACAAATATAACAAATATTTTACAGAAAATAGTATTTAACAGTTATCTAGACTTGTAAGGAGTTCATAATTTAAAACATAAAAAAAAATTGGAAATCAGGATAGCAACACTTAATCTACCAGAAATCAGAACAGCGACATCTTAGTCTGCCAGTAATAAGATATATGGGTTTTTCATGTCATCTCAGTATGATAGTCTAGCACCGCCTCTACTAGCTGGGGATGTAAGTCAAAGAGCACTCAGTCTAACACCTACTGTCATTCGATACAGTGTTCTAAAAATCTGAAACTCCTTTAAAACAGTTTTCTAAAAATAAATAGAAACAGTTTGATAGAATTTTCCATTTACAGATATAAGCGAACATAAATAATAGATAATTTTTTCAAAATAATTTTAAAAATTACATACATGTCCCTTGTTAATTCAATTTTTCAATAATTAAGTATATCAAGTAAAAATCAAAATTTATAACAAATATAAAAAATAGTAAATACTCATAAATACACATTATTACTTACAGAACTTACGAAAATCAAGAAATCCGGTCTTCGGTGACACGGGCTCGACGAGAACTATACGAAGAATCTAAAATTATAAAAATAATAAAATATCTTATTTTAGTTTCTAATACATCTAAGAATCGAGTAATTATTAATTTTCAATTAAAAACTCGAGTAAAATTCTAAATTTTAGTGCCAAAACCCATATCGGGGATATTAAAGTCTCAAACTGGTTAAATAAGTCATGAACCAAATACCAAAGTCTTGAACTAGTTTTATAAAATATAACCAATTTGTTAAACCCCAAAACTACTGATTAAAGCGTTGAGCTAGTCATGAACCGAGCATGAACTGGCCATTAGGTCACTTAACTAGCCCTGAAACGCCTTATAATATATTGAACCAACCCTGAACTCTCCTATGATATACTGAACCAGCCTTTTAACTCATTGAACCAGCTATTTCTATATTAAATTGAACTTGTTTATGTGCAAAACCAGTTTGAAATCCATTAAACTGGACATGAAACACACAAAAGGGGTCTTCAATTTACTGAACCGGTCCAATAAGTCATTGAACCGGTGATTAAAAACTATAATTCAACAATTTAGGGTTTAAACTGGATATATTAACCCTAAACCGGCATTAAACTAGTTGGTTTAAGTATTAAACTAACTTATTATGCCTTGAACCAAAAGTAAACCGATGGTAAACCTCTTGAACCAGCTGGTTTTTTAATTCTCCTAATTATTTATCTATTTATTTATTTATTTTCTGATTTGAATCTATTTTTGGAACCCACACCCAGCAAAGTAACTTGGTTCAAGCCCAAACCAGAAACACAATCCTCAACCCAATGATCAAGGGCCAACCCAATGTGGCCCATGGCCCAACCAAAAAAACTTAACCCAGTTTCGAGGAACTAGGTGTTGGTAAACTTGAATCCTAGTTGGGTCTATCTTCCTAACTTGATTCTTTACTACCAAACCCCGATTTTACTCTAATTAAAAATTCGAGAAATTTACCTAGAATTCTTCAAAATAACTTGTAGATCAGGCTCAGAATGGACAGTCGACCATGAAAGCTCCCAGAATTTGGTTTCTAAGCAACTTAATTTGCAAAAATTAAGCTTGAAAAGTTTCGGTATTGGCGAATGGCAAGCGGACAAAAACCTGTGAAATTGACAAGATTAGAGAATGAATTTTCAAAAATTGATTGAGGGCTTTTCTTCTATGCCCCCAATTGCACAATATATTCCAAAAATTCTAAGATAATAGCTTTTAATTTGATTGAATTTGATATTCTTAGTCGCAGAATCCAAAAGCTTAAAGGTAAACCCAAACCAATTTCCTGTTATTTTCAATTTGGTCCTTAGATTCTTGGTCAAGTGCAATCTAATCCCTGTCAACTCACATTATTTCCATTCAGGCCCCAAAAAAATTAATTTTGTTTAATTGAGCTCTCTAATTTCTAATTTGGCCCCCTAACTTTCTGTTTCTTTTAAATTAAGCCCTTAAATTTCTAAATATTTTAATTAACCCCTAAAATTAGGGGTACTACATTATTTCTTGTACTACTTTTCTCTAAACTTTAGTTAAAAATAGTCAGAAGTAAAAGTACTTAAACCTATACTCTTGGTAACTAATGGAATAATTGTAAATAATTATAATTTTTGTTAGATAAATATATCGTAATGTTTTTATTATAATTTTGTTTTACCCTTATCAAAATTAGCAAAGATATTATTGTACGACCATTTATTTAATCAAATCAAAAAATAAATTAAAACTTAAGAATAAGTAAAATTATATTTTTAAATTAAAAGTAAAATTATATTGAAAAGAAGAATATCAAAAATTAGATTTTAAAAGTTACTAATAACTTATATAAAGATAATTATATAAATTATTAAAAATTATTAATAACTTATATAAATTATTAGTAATGTATTTATTTTTATCCTAATAACTTCAAAATTTTATTTACAACCCAATAATATTTATTTTATTGCCATATATCACTTTTTAAAATAATGACAATTTAAACATTTTAACATAATGAGTAATTATATAGCATTTTACTAAACATCAATTTATCAACTTTTATTATTTTTTATTAAAATTTGCAAACTTCCTTAACTTCTATACTTTCAACACCTTTTTAACTTTTAGTATTTGACAATACTTCTTAAGAAGTAGTAGCAAACAAACTTTTTAAAAAGCCAAGTTCCATGCACTCGATTTCCAAAAAATTTAAAAAACAAAAATCAAGAATAGTTGGGTTTTTCAAACCCAACTTTCCAACCTTCCAAAATATACATGACGTTTCAATTATTAATTTTGAAAAGTGATATTCTGCAAATAAAAAATATTATTATTAACATTAAAAACGATTATTATAGTACATTTATTATACAAACAATCATATCAAATTATTACAATATATTTTAAAATATTAAATGATTTGAATCAAATTATTATTCTACATTTTATTATAAAATATTTATATATACCAAATAATTTTTCTATAAAATAATGCACACCAAATTATTAGAAAAATATAAACAAAAAATTAAGTATTGTACATTACATAATGTTTTACACATGTCCCCTTCTTTTATTCTCTCTCCAAAAATTGCCATGGCCGTTCTCCTTCACCACCCCCACCGTCTCCGCCGTTATTATCTTCCCGTGCCATCGTATTTGCCACCTTGACAGCCTCCGACTCCATCACTGAGGTTGAAGGAATTGGATCTCATCCCTGCCAGCGCCACCGCCTCCATAACCCTTTTTCCATTGCCATCTTCTCTGATTGTCGTATAAAGAAAGAAAGCGAGCTCCTCTCTCATATCTAAATTTTCTCCAGGGCCACCGCGACCCCAAAGCCCCTCCATTGCTCTCCTTCACTTTTAATGCCTCCATTCCTTTCTCTTCCACCATTATCACCACCGTCCGTCGCTTTTTCCTCCGCTGCCACGTCGCCCTATCCATTCCTTCGATTCCACCCCCCGGCCCTAAACCCGCTACTGGATTTACGGAGAGAGAGACCTTTTTTCTCTCTGTAAACCAGTTCGAAGAAAGGAAATTCAAAACGAGGGAAAAAAACGGAGAATAGAATAAGGGAAAAAAAATAGGGGTAAAAAAGTCTTTACACAAGAGAAGGTGGTTAGTTCTGAACTGGAGGAAAATTTATGATCTTTATTTATATTTAATTTATGATAGGAATCTTAAACAGTAATTTTTCCAAAGATAAATTGGAACTCTGATCAAGTATTTTTGCTCCCCTTTTGGGCTCTATTCCGTTGGAGCCTCCAGGATGAAGGCATTCCCCGTTCCTGTAGGCCCTATGTCGTAAATAAAATAAAAGCAGCTTCACCAAGAAAAGCCCAATTCCATTAAAAAAGATTTTGTCAGGCCTGATGGTCTTAGGCCCATACTGTTTCAACCCGCAAGTCATGGGCCCATTAGCAGCAAACTCTCGTTCTTCCCCTCTTATCTAATATATGTGCTACTATTAGATCTTTCTTGTGTAATTTTATATTCGGGATAAGTAATAGTTGAGTTACGTGAGTCGTAATTTTTCTAATTAATTTATAAGGAATTAGTTCTTTATTGTGTTGCAAAATATTCTGTACAAATTCTCTCCTCCCCCCACCCAGAAAAAAAAGGAAAAGAAATCCGAAAGACTGTTGCCCATCCTGTCTTGACTTCAATCACTCGCAAATAAACCCAACAAAAAAAAAAGGGAAAAGAAATCCGAAAGACTGTTGCCCACCCTGTCTTGACTTCAATCACTCGCAAATAAACCCATATTTTTTCTTCTTTTGGCGAGTGAGAAGGAGAGACTTCTCTTCTGCCCGAGTGTAGAAAACCTTGAGAGAGCATAGCGGAAATTAGACACAGTTTCTGGGTCTGTTGGTCATCAAAAGCAGATACAACCGACATAGGATACTCCAAAGGGTACTATTCGGCATATGCACTCTCAACAAGAGCAAACACAAGAAACAAAGCTGCCCAAGCTAAGCATAGGCATGACTTCCTACTACAAAATAGTAAATTTAGTGGCAAAACAGTAAATGAATCATGATTTCCAAAAGCAATTTTGAAAGGTAAGACAGTGTCAAGGCATGAGGTTGCCTATACAAGCTACTGCCAGACCTTATACAAGGGACAAATAATGTTTATTTTCTTAGACATTAAATTTGAGTACGTGGGATAGGGTAGGAATACAACCGTAATACAAAGATACATAGACAACACAATCAAAACTTGGAAGACAAACTTCCTTATTGTAAACTGACCCCCAAATCAACCTACTGGCTACTGCTCTTTTTAAGGGTAAGAAGGAGATATTGCCGGGGCAATGGTGAACCTCTCGAATGGATGGCTTCTGGTCCTGGTGCAATGGTGAACCTCTCGGAATGGATGGCTTCTGGTCCTGGTGCAACGTACCCAGAGCTTCTCACCTCTCCCAATCCCCTTCGCGCATCTTTCCCCCGTGCTTCACATAATTTCGGAAGAAAAACACCTATCAAAGGAAGAAGTAAAAGCACTCGTATCAACTACAAGGATATAGTGCACTATTTAGAGAAAGCTTGAATATGGCCAATCGATTAGCCAACAAATCAATAAATTAGACGATACCTTAAGAATAAGTATGCTACTGTTAAGTAACCCACTTCTCTCTTTGTGAGAGACTGAGAGTTTATCCTTTTAATATGAAAGAATTTTGCCTATTCCCAGACTTCCCCAAAACTTGGTATTTTCTTATTACTTAAGCAGTAAAGATATGGCGTTAGGGATCTACCTTCGCCAGCGGCGAGGTTGAAGTAGAGGTCAATGATGTTGGGGCACCCGTGGAAGCACTGAGGAGAGCAAAGCTTTTGGGTGAACTGAGGTTCTAGGAGGGAGTCAGATGAGATGCCAAGAGCGGTCCTCTCAAGCCCACACGCCTCGACACAGCTGTCGGTCTCAACCCAGTCCTTCAGCTGGTCAGCCGCTATCTCAGACGTCCGGCATGTGTAGGCCTCCTCGCCGCTCCTCCTCACTTGCTTCTCTAGTACGCACCGCTTCCCTGAGGATGACACCGCGAATGCACAAGAGTCCTTGTTCAGATTCTCGCATTCGATGCCTCCCCCTACACAGACCACCAAAGAAAGAGAAGAAAATTGAGACTAATTCTTGGTATACATGCATGGGAAATTATATTGCATGTTGACATTAAGGTTTTAAGGAAAATGCAGAGTTATAAATAATAGAAACTGTTAGGTTTAGTTCAAAAGTGTGCCATTTCCAAAAAGCATTGACTTTTTCTGGAAGCTGCTTCCTTTCAAAAGTAATAAAAAAAAAAGGGCTAGAGATTTTTTAAAATTTTCTAAATAAATTTAAAAATTTTAAAAGAATAATTTTTTTTCTAAGAAAGAGGAACTTTAGAAAATTGAAGTACTTTTATGGGTAATGAAAAAGCCGGACTTTTATTAAGCTAACCAAATTTCCAGAAAAAAAAGTTCATTTTTTAATAAACAATTAAGGCATGTTTGGTTCAATAGTATTTTGGGTTTTTGATTTCTTGTTGTAAAAGAAAAAATAATGTTATTTTATTGATATTCGGTTTCTCTAAAAAAATTGAATTCTTTGTTTGGTTATTCAAACAAAATATAAGCAAATATAAAAATATAAAAAATAACGATTTTGACCATTTATCTCTTCTTATAATATGCCCATCTAAATATGAATACAAATATAAAAAAAACTTATAAAAATCAAAATAGCCCTAAAAAATCTAATATAATCATATTATAAAGTTCAAGTTGAATCAAAGATAAAAAAAAAAAAAAAAGAAATGTCTGTAAGTGTACTAAATTGCTCCTTAAATTAAAAATTTTAAAAAAATTCTACTAATCAAACAACCTTTTTAAAGCGGCAATGGGGAAAGAGTAACTACTTTGCTTACCTATGGCGGATTGGACAGAAACGACCAGTGCAAGAGCAAGGACAGCCAGGGACATGAAGCTGATTGAGGAAGCCATGGGAGGATTGAGAAGATTGAAGGAGATGATCAGAGAGGGAACTAGGCCGATGGCTGGGGCTGCGAGGCTGTGCTTGGGCTTCCTTGTGTGCAGCCTTGCTATTTATACTAGTTCTCCAGGAAATTTGTTTACTGTTTACTAGTTCTCCAAAGTTCAAATAGACTTTAGACGCCAGTGAGCCCACGGTGGGACCGGCGTGGAACTTAAAATTCTCCACCGTCAAAATGGCCGTGCAACTGTGACAGAACGTTTTGACAACATGTTTAGATTTTTATATGAACATTATTTGAAAGTATATTTGGGAGGTGTTTTGTTAATAAGAAAATCAAATTTACTTTTTGTGTTTAATTTTCAATTTTTTAGGCTGCATCTTTATAATAGATATTTTAAATTTTAATTTTTATACTTTTTTAGAGTTTTTTATTTCTCTTTTTTAATATTCAAAAAGTATGCGGATAAGAAAGGAGAAATAGTTAGAAATATTATTTTTTATTTTACATTTATATATAATTTTTCTTAAGATATATAACAAAAAAATGAGGTTTTCTAAACAAATAAAATTACTAATTTTTTTATACTAAAAATAATAGAATCTAAAAACTCCAACAAATCAAATATTTGTAGTTAGAACAATTTTAAAAAATTTAGGTGAAGTTTGGAAAACAAGGAACAATAAATTATTAATTACCCGTTTAGATGAAAATAGTTATGAAGAAAATAAACAGCAAGGATATTTTTAAAATTTAAAATCATAGAGAATGAAATAAATTTAGAGATGGGATTGTAATAAGTAACTAAGAAAAAAAATAAAGTTAATAACTGGATGCTTTTTTCCCTTATTTGATATTTACGATATGGATAAAAAGGTAAAATCATAAATAAATATTAAAGTGCATCAAATAACTTTTTTTTATAGAGGCCAGTTAGAAATGTATTATTCAATAATTTTTTCGGAAAATAGTTTTATTTATCATTTCATATATAAGAAAAATAAATTAAAATTTTCATCTCTTTAAGTTGTCCTTTTCGTTGCCGATGCTGTTAAAAGGAAAAAAAAATTGTTCTCGCGAATCCCTAGGTTGGGATAAACCGCCCCGATCTTTAGCCGAAAGCTCCAGCAGGAATGACGGAGGCCGGAGGGCCACGCAAGGGATGGCAACACGTGTTGCACTTGATCGAGGGCGGAAGAAACCTAAGTTTGAAAGGTGCACAGAAAGTTCCAAAGTTTCACTGCTTGAGTTGTGGCGTCTCCCTCCTTGGTTTTACATTAATTTTAGTTTATAGTTTTATTAACTTACGGCTTCGCAATCATTTGACTACTCTAAATTGGGTAGACTCGCAAAAATCAATTCAAATAATGCATTTTTTATGTCGTTAGAGATGCATTTAGAAAAAAAATAAATTTAAAAAATGGTTTAAATAAAATAGATTTTAAAGAAGTGAATTTAAATAAAATAAAATAAATTTATTTATAGAGTATTAAAATAAAATAGATTTTAAAAAATGAATTAAAACCCAAAATTATGATATCCTGTCTAATATTGATTTCTGATAGTGATATAATATAATATATAAGAAATTTGATAATACTTTTAAATAATTTAGATTTAAGTATTTTAAATCAGTGATTTAAACTCAACAAGTTATTCAGGTCAGTAATTCTCGAGTCGTTATAAATTGTGTTAAAACAAAACAATTTTTGAATCTATTCTATTTAGATATGAATATAAATTTGTAATTTGACGAGGATATCAAGTGATTAAGTGAGGAAAATTATGATATTCTGTCTCACTTCGATTTCTAATAGTGATATAATATGATATATAAAAGATTTGAAATTACTATTGAATAATTTGAATTTAAGCATTTTGAATCAGTGATTCAAACTCAACAAGTTATTCAGGTCCGCAACTATCATGTTGTTACAAAAATAAATAAACCTTAAACTTATTACTCTAATACTGTTACAAAAATAAATAAACCTTAAACTAATTACGTTACACTTGGTTGAGAAAAAACAAAAGTAACTAAAAATTTTGACAAAATCGTTCTTAAAATTAATTCAAGATAATATTATAACATCTCGTACTCGGCCGCTATTCAAGGATTAGGCCTAAAACGAACCTACAATCCCTAGTTGCATAACTAAAACGGAAGTAGAAAATTGATTTTGAGTTTGCTTTGTTTCTTCTCTAAGTGGCTTTTATTTCAACGCTCTCTGTTCTAGGCTTTTGGCCAAAGGCAAAAATTCCATTTGGAGACATTCATGGGGTTTTGATCTTTGAAAAAATCTTTTAAGCTAAAGAAAAAATGCCCGACAAAGAAAGTAACGATGTCAACCAACCCTCAATTAAATATTACAGCCAAAAAAGAAAAAGCCTTGTTCACACTAGACTGCTTGACCGACATAATAATAGTAATTATTGAAACGTGTTCACCATGTAGTTCATTAGTCATCGATCAAGTCAATAGACTTTGGGTGGATGACAACCTGACAGTGACCATTCAAATTTGACTATATGGCACCTGAATTTACTAATATGTGAAAATGTGAATCACGCCTTTAACTTAAGTTAGACTTTTTTATTAACAAAAAAAAAAAATACAAATCATGCTCCATTCCCATTTTGTTGGGAAAGAAGTGGTAATATATATATATATATTTTTTATAATATAAGTATATACAAATAAATTATATACTCAAATAATATTTTTTTGTCTGTCTATATCTTTCATTTTTGTAAAAGTAAAATTATTGTAAAATTTTTTTTATTAATTTAAAAGAAAGTATATAATTCGAATTCTAATCTTAATAGTGAACTATTTGACGTGTTTATTACGTGGATTATTGAAAATTTTGATATTTTTGAATTATTATTATTAATAATTTATATTTTTTAATGAAAACTTGGTTTTAGAACTTTGATGTACTTGACTGGTTTCCGGTTGACTTAGTGCATCAACTGATTTATTGGTAACACCATGTCCAAATTCTCACTTAATTATTAATAATTTATAAGATATAGTGATGCAAAAATATACAATGATGTACATTTTGAAGAAATAAACGTTTAATACGAGAAAATTATATAAATAAAAAGGATAAACAAATAAAAGAAGAATGTATTTTTCATTTTGTATTTTTAATTATTGTAACATACTAATATTTTTTATATACTATACTTTTAATGAATTTATAATTTTGTATGAAATAATTTAATATAATTTTATAAAAATATATATATATATATTACATTTATACGTAATAAATTTCTTAATTTTTTTTGTCTCTTATCCTACTACCTATGCTTGTATTAGTGAGTTTATTATCTTTAGGACGGTAGGTGGTTAATTAAATATTATTATTTAATATGCTTACGTCAGCAGCCGCATGCTATGGAGGTCCATTCGGTTGCTTTTTTGCGTCAAAATTCAGTTTAGGTAATAAAATTGTTTTTTCCGTCATCAAACTACGTCATTCTCATTTGCATTCGTTAAAAATGCTTGAGAATATGTAATAACATCATGCTGTGTCTAGATTTTTAAATTTATGCGTTCAATTTTTTAAAATTAAAAAGTAATATTATAATTTATTGACTTAAAAGAAAATAAATAAGAAGATAATTTAAATATTATAAATATGAGGGTGTTGAGGAGTATCCAAACCATATACTCAAACATCACATACACGATGTCAAAAATAAAAATACAAATTCAAAGTGGATTACAACGCAAAGGTTGAAACAAAAGTGTCACGACCCTACCGTCGAGTCCGTGACCGACGCTAGAGTTACGATAATCCCAACCCCGCAAGCCTTAGAAGATCCAATTATAACAGAACCAAATAAAACTTAACATAATTCAATAATCAAAGTCTGATACAAACTATCAAAAGCCCAATATACTTATTAACATCTGAACCCCTGTCTGTGATCTCAGAACTAACTAAAACAAAATACATACTAAAAAAAAACAATGACTGACTGCGATACTCAGAAATCAGTTCTGTTGGTAGCACGAAATTGAAATCGGCGAACTACTATCACTGAGCAGGATCTGTCGGGCCCACAAAACCTGAGTCTGGAAAAATAAAGGATGAGTTTATTGACTTAGTGAATAATAGTACATATTTATATGACGAGAGACATATATCAGGTATTTTAGCATAAAAATACAGTTTTCAAAATTTTACAGGTTAGGGAGTTCAACACCAAGAATTGAACAGAAATAGGACGGCAACTCATGGTATGCCGATATACAGATATCAGGACGGCAACTCAAAGTCTGCCGGTAATCAATAAACAGGTCTACCACGTCAGCCACATGTGATAGTCTAGCATCACCCTGCTAGCTGGGGATACAGGCCAAGGTGCACCAAGTCTAACGCATACTGCCGTTAGCTACAGTGTTCTAACAGTACGATACTCCTTAAAATCATTTATCAGAGCTTAACAGAGAAAGTTTCAAATTTTCAAAGTCTTAAACATGTATCAGTACTTGAAGTCAGAAATTCAGAGGTTTTTTCCCACAAATCAGAAAATGACATATAAGTCCCTCATAACTTTTCTCACAATTTAAGTTCAATCAAATAATAACTGAAATAAAATTTCAATTGATGTAAAAACAGTAAATTTAAACAAGTAAAATAGCATTTAAAACATATAAATATATAATATTACTCACAGAAACTGAGAATCACGCAATTCGAGCTTCGGCGGTTCGGCTTCCCGAAATTCAACCAATTAATCTAAAGATAATTAAATATTCATTTTACAACGTAGTATTTCTCAAACTTAATTTAAAACTAAATTATTCTTAAAAACCCAACTTTATTCTTAATTTTCATGTCTTAAACCATTTCGAAAATTTTAAAGTCTCAAACTGATCAAAACCATACTGAACCGGACCTCCTATACATTGAACCAAGCATAATATTTACTAAACCAGTGAGAAAAACCACTGAACTGAGACCGAAACCGTTAAACCAGTCTCCACATCAA